TCCAAGAAAATAAACTGTAGAATTTTTTTATCATTATAATCATCATTCTCCCCAAAGAGAGGGAGAGGTCTATAAATGGCCAAAATACAGTGGCATGTCTAATGACAAAAGTGCCCTCTGAGGTCACATAAGCCTACTCCCTCAAGTGAGGGTAAAAAAAAAAAAGATACATAAATAAAATAAATACACATAAAAGCTCAAAAGTAAAGTGGTCCAATCATAGCCGTAAATCTTTGGTCCAAGAAAATAAACTGTAGAATTTTTTTATCATTATAATCATCATTCTCCCCAAAGAGAGGGAGAGGTCTATAAATGGCCAAAATACAGTGGCATGTCTAATGACAAAAGTGCCCCTGAGGTCACATAAGCCTACTCCCTCAAGTGAGGGTAAAAACAAAAAAAAAAAAGATACATAAATAAAATAAATACACATAAAAGCTCAAAAGTAAAGTGGTCCAATCATAGCAGTAAATCTTCGGCCACTTCTCTGATAAATTTTTCACGGTTGGATGTCATCATCATAAGGTCACCACTTTTTGATAGCTAAGATAATCACTATCAACTCCCGTTCATATACAAACTTGAGCATCGCTCTAGTTGTGATTACCTGGTTGAAATAAGCAATGGGTTGATGATCATGCATGAGTATTGCCCCTAAGCCCTTCTAATACATCCACCTTCATTGCTACCATTGTCTCCATGAAATCTCGCTTTGATACCAATTTGATGCATTTTGGAAGTAAAAAAAACAAAGTAAATAAGTAAAAGCTGTTGGAATATGAAGATAGGGGCTGATTTTTTATTATCTCTTCATCAAAAAAGTACAAGTGATCTATTATTCGAGAGGTAGATCGGATCTCCCACAAAGCCTAGGCGTCACTAGAAAACTCACAAAGAAAACTGCAGTATAAAACAAATTGCATAATGAAAATAAAACAACATAATTACCCTTACATAAATTATCATATTTCCCTCCCAAATATGAATTTAAATTATTCATATTTACCTAAATAAAACATTCCTAATTCCCTCCAAAATCTAAATTCAATTCAACCCTCTTTCCCTCAATAAATCATTCCTAATTTCCTCACAAATTTGAATTCAAATTAGCCCTCTTTCCTTAAATAAACTTTTCATAATTCCCTCCTCAATCTAAATTCAAATCAACCTCTTTTCCCTTACATAATTTTCTCCCAATTTTAATTAAAACATTTCTAAACAACTCCCCTTGACGATTCTGATAGGAAATACTTGAGATCCAGTATTTCCTTTGCACTTCTTGAACAACTCTCCAAGCCAGTTGCAGTCCCGCACAGGAAAACAGTGAAAAACAGCGAAAAATCTGAGAAAAACTGAGAGAAAGCGTAGGAAAACAATTGCAAACGATTGTATTCCACTAGTCGATGCAAAAGACAAGCAAGATACAATTTTCCTTCGATTTGAGATGAAGGAATAAACTCTCCAAATCTTTAGCCGTAGTCTAGAGCCCAAGAACAAGAAAATCTAGATCTCCAAAATACATTCAAATTCAAGATACCCCCAAATCCCTCCAAAACTCCTAATTAAAGACAAAGGAATATTACAAAATACCTAAACAGCCCTTAGTTCAAATTATTTTCCTCCTAATCTTGTATTAAGCCCATAATGGGCTCCACAAGGCTTCCGCCCAACCCAGGCCATCCGTTGGGTCTATTCTGTCGCCTGGAATAGACCCGAACCGGTCCCTCCTGGACCGGTCCAGCCGGCCCCTCCTGGGCCGGTGTAACAGATTCCTCCTCCTTACATAGTGAATATTAACTCCCCTAGGCCCCACAAGTAGCCCCCTAACGTATCATTCTAGCCCTGAAGTGATAAAACCACATTGGCAAAATCCTCATATCACTTCTCAAATTCGACAAGCATATCGCTAAAAAAATTTATTTCATTAAACATCCTGACTGTTCACATTTAAATTCTACCTCAAGTCTTACTACTTCCTCAATCCATCCTTCCAAGGCCGCATTTTCCCTCTCAGCATACCCGGCAAATGATCGCTCACTTACTTTAAGTTCATCTAATAATTGATCATTTATCAGCGACATTTATTATTCTCCAATTTATCAACTCACATGCAAGACTCAGAGGGGCAAGATCTAGCCTTAACCACCCCTATATAGCGGCCTAATGGGTTCAAATGAAAATCCAAACTAAAACTTGACAATTGAAAAATAAGAACAATGTTAAAAGAGCATAAATGAAGAAATGTGCTCAAAACAACTCAAAAGAAGGGAGGAACCCTGGACTCATCCGACATAGGGAGAATAATCATTTTGAGAGGCATCTACATTATATATTTGATGCAATCCAATATTTTCCCTGATAAGCACAAGACGAACTCAAGCACTTCAATAGAAAGGATCAATGTTCTCTTTCCAGCATGAGGGGCTGCACAAGGTGTAGTGTTGGCAAACCACCCCTCCACTAACTCTTGTGAAGAAAAATCGCCTCCACCAATCACTCATCATCTTTAACTTGTAGAACTTTAGGCATGGGGACAAGAAAGAAACACAACCATTTTAAGCCACCCTAACCTTAAACGGATTACCAAAAAGGTGAATGCTTCATCGGTATTACCTTTCTTGCAAAAAGGTAGAGAATGCACTTAAAGGCAAAAGAACTTGGTGTGATTTGGGTGCCCATATCGATTGAGTACAATTGATACATCAAGGAAGAGAGGAAGGCATAGTCCCAAATGAAATTGGTCATGATAAAAAAATAATTTCTTGTTGTTTAGGGAGTTTAGGAACTTTCCCTTTAAAGGAGCTCAAATCATGAAGTTGTCACCATTTCCATGCTCCTCTCATAGCCATTTTATGTTGTGATCAGTAATCAAAGGACAATGCAAGTCAACATTCATGAACTCCCCCATACAATGCATGAAGTCTCTTGACATGGCACCCACTCACGATTGGATAGAGATACGACATTGAGGGAGAGATTGGTAAGGGGACGAGATGATAAGGAGAGAACATAAATAATCCTTCATAAAAATTTATAGCCCTAGCCCTAGAAAGATGAAACATCATGCAACAAGATGGACAAATCAACAATTATATCTCATGAGTTTTCATAGGTTTGATCCTATAAATTCGACAAGGCATCTCAATCAATGCACATAAATGAGCGTTCCTTTAGAAGTTGTGAGTTTGCTTGTTCCTTCAAAAGAGGTGATTACCCACTTGGCCGAGGAGGTGTTCATCACATTAAGGAGCGGTGTTACTTTTTTCAAAAAAAGAACATCATTATGTTGATTCAATTGACTTCAAATTAAATGGCCCATAGACAATGTTTGAATGTCCAAAGACCATTGATGCTTCTATAGGATTTCACTCTAACTCATTATTTTTTTTTCTTTTTGCATGATATCTCTCAAAGATATATAAGAATTAGGAAATTAAAATGTATAACCCAATATGTAGATATAGATAAATTGAGGAGATTAGACATGTTCACTCAAGAATCGAGGAGCACCCAGAGAAGCCACTCACCTCAAACTGAAGGGCAGTTGCCTTGGCCAGAGGAGTCACTCACCCCCATTTGAAGGGCACTTGTATGCCAAATGTCATCCAAATGTATCAACTTGTTTCGTCCATATTTTAGTACTCGTCATATCATGTAATATTTTATTCTTGATCTTAACCTTATGGATTTCCTTCTAGTTCGCTTTTTGTCCCTTTTGTCCTTTCTCATAACCTTGCTAGCCTTATGAGTAGGGTTTGAGTATCACCTATGACCAATTTTGGATCCAATAAATTCCAATCTATTATCTTATTTCTACTAGACCTAAGAAACTTTTAGTTTTCAATACATTACACAAAGATAAACAATTATATAATCAACTTATCGAGACTGCTTCACCCCTGATTGCAAGAAAACAACGAGTCTAGCCTGTAGTAACACTGCTTATGAATGAGCACTCAGGAAACATTGGAATCTCAACAAATAGATTATTTAACTTATGGCTCCTACATACAGAACTTTAGAGTAATTACAAAACAAGAATGGTGATTACGGATATGCACCTAGCATTATGATCCAAAATTTAACTAATAATGATTAATCAACTAATTGCACTAATTAACTTCTATGCATTAGTGATTAAACACTAATGATAACCAATCAGCTACATTGCACAATTGGTTAGCTGCAAATTACAATGATTTTGTAGCAACTACATTTAATTGAATAATTAAGCATTAAACAAAAATTAGTTAGCTTTAACATGCTCAAGTTGATAAACCACTTACAGCAGTTAACTGCTGCACAACAATAAGCATTTATAAGGCTAATTTAGGGAAGTCATTGCATATGACTGCAGATCAAGCGTTCACTGTATCGATAAGGTTGCCTTGTGAAAGCTAAGCATTCAATCATGGACACAAAATTCATCTTTTTGCTGTGAAGCAATAAGACTTAACACAACATTCTCTCTCTCAAAGGGGCTTAGTTCACCAGATACTATCTTTAATTTAGGTAAAACATATAGTATGCATGAAATCATAATCAAATGAGACAAGGTAAGTTGGTATAATTTTTTGGGGGAGAACCAAAGAAGAAAGCCACCAAAGGTGAGAGAAGAGGCAGCCTTACTGAGTGTAGAAGAAGAAGGAGAAGGCTCCGTCAATAAGGACCGTCTGGATCAGCATCCAGGACATGACCAGGAAAACGAGGCCGCGATAGACCAGCAACCAGAAAGGGCTGATCTTTCTCCAGCTCGGCGTCCACAGCTCAACAACCCTAGGTGGCCGTTTCCCTGTTCTATAAATCACCGTAACTGCCACAGCCGCCGGCACGACAGCGATGAACGCGCAGAGCGGCAGTTGCCACCACATTCCGCCAAAGCATAAATTTCTATCAGCAGAACGGAAATCGAAGAAACCCCTAAGAATTTCTCCCTGTCGAGAGAGGGAGGAGGGAGGTAAAAAGGGGGCTGCAGCCTGCTATAGCATCTGAGAAGAGAGAACTAACAACCACCACAGTATTGATTGGAGAAGGAAAAAAGCACAGTGACGCCATTGAAAACTAATAAATGCTCCCATAATATCTCACCTACAATATAAATATAAATGTAAATTCAAATCTCTCGAAGCATCTAAAATCCATTGAAGACATTTGATAAATTATAAATAATTTTCATATAATCTCTTTGAGCTCTTGTATTCCTACAAATAAAATCTTTGTATTTTTTATTTTTAGATAATGAATATCCCTATTGATTTGTATCATAGTAGACATAGGATATAAAGACCAAATCACCTAAATCTCTTTTGTGTACTTTGACTCTTTTGTGATCTTTGTTTCCTTATAGAGTACTGTATATAAAGTTCTTTTTCAATCTTCAATTGAATCGTGAATTTTTATTATTAGCATCTTTAGTGTCATCTTTAAGAAAGTAAATTGTAATATCATAGGAAAAGGGGCAATGGAAAAATAAAACTATAATCATATTGGTGTTCAATTTTAGATTAGTTATATCCCTTGTGAACTTCAAATTGATGAATCATCTACTGATAAATGTTAAATTTTGATCCAATTTTAGTCAGTTTGTACCTTTGGCTTATCTTTCCTGCTTCTGAGTGTTATAAGTAAAGGATTGAGTTCTATGTAATGTTGGGGAAAATTTAATGAAGCTTAGTATTATTTTTTTTTCCAAATTTTGCTCCTCCTGCCCCTCCCCTCTCCCTCTCATCCAAAAAAGATCAATAAAGCTTCCTTCCTCAAGAAAACCCAACAATAACAATTTCCTAATGAGGAGCAAGCTAACTATGATTTGATAACATCCTTAAATAGCTACTTGCCCTCACTAATGCAATCAACATTACTCTCAATTACTAACACTTCTTATATTCAATAAGCTCAACCTCATCATAAGGGTAACATATTGATATTGATGATAAAATTACTCCACCTAATCATTTTAGGAGTAAAATGAGTAACTCTCATTTTATCTCTAAAGTAGTTGATGATCTTATAATCGTTGCAGTTCAAAGCTTCTAAACTTCAGGTGTATAAAGGGATAATAAACTTGATCTTTTATATAAGGCATGTTTCTCAATAATATCTTATATGTGTTTGTGTAAAAGAGTTGTCAGAACCTTCAATGATTCTGCATGAAGCTGGTTCAACAATCTATCATGTTTGAGCATAAGCTCATTAGAATTTTTTTTAACTTTTTCCTAGAACATATACGTGAAAAGGTTGGAGTAGCTCTAGTGGAAGATATGATTAGAGAGAGTCGCCTTAGATGGTTTGGTCACATTAAACGGAGGCCTTCCGATGACCCGGTTAGGAAAGTTGAGGTATTAGATTTGACTTATGTTAAGAAAGGTAGAGGTATACCTAAAAAGACTTGATTAGAAAATATTAGAAATGATCTTTCTTTATTATATTTAAATGAGAATTTCACTTTTAACCGGATACAATGGCGAAAAAGGATTCATCTAGTCGACCCCACGTAGTGGGACAAATGCTCGATGTTGTTGTTGTTATTGTTGTTGTTCTAGAACAATTTTATTTATAGAAGTGGCCACTTGTAATACTCATAATTTACTTAAATCTTAGAAGTTATATCCACCTTACATGTGGATAACACTGGTTCAAAATCATTAATACAAAGGTATTTTAGTTTTTATAGCATAGTTCTTGAAAAGTTTCTTTTAGGATAGCTCTTAGGGAGAAATTATTCTGTGCGGACGCTGAATGTCGTCTGGAGACTAACCAAAATAAGCCATGTCACCCCTTCGCTTGGTACCGCAGCTTGACACTGTTCGGTACCGCTGATGTGGTTGCACCTAATTCGTCACCGGACGTAGAGCTACATTCGACATCTGCACCGAATAATTTTTCGCTCTTAGAAACACTTGATCAATTTCTCCTCGTGGATTTGAGAATCTCTTGAGCAACCGTTTCAATGGCATTTAATATATAAATTTGTTATAAATACATTGATCAAAGATATTACCTACCAACAAATATTGAATATTTATTAGTCAAATAGTGAATATTTCCTCAAATGGTGAATATTTATTCTTAACTTGTTGAATTTCTTAGACGATTTGAGGATCTCCTTTCAACTTATTTCTCTCTAATAAATTGATTTGGTGGTCTTCTTATAAGTTTTATGTTAGATTTTTTAGTCATTATCTAAAACATTCCTTATAAGTATTGATAAAAATTGTGGTGATTACACCATATTTTTATATTTTATTTATTATCAGATGAAAATACTCCCAAAAAACACATAGTTCAAATTTGTTAGGGTTGTTTATTAAATATTATAAAGTGAAATTTTTGCCTTAGCATTGCATAAAATTTTACACACAAGGATTAAAAATAGCTTACAAGTGATTGAAGAACTTTTATGTAGAAAAACTAGGACGAAAAATAGTCTATTATATAAGATGAAGATTATAAAAGATTTCCCTTCACCCTATTTGGAGAAGGAAAGATTATAAAATTTGAATTTCTAGCTTGATCTTTTATAGGAGTAGAACGAAATACTAGAGAAATAATGATGAGGGAAGAGCATTCGCATCGATCAATTGCTAGCGAAGGCGAACTAAAGATGACGATTGTAAGCGTCAATTAACGACAAGCAACAATGGTTGCGAAGCTACAAACATTGACATCAACTGTTGAATGGAGACAAATAACAAGCGATGAAAGTTAGGTGACGGTGGATGCCGACAGTCATTAGTGGTCGTTGGTAGTGAGCGAGTGATAACGATGATGTTTAGCAAAATAAAGAGCTTTAGGATTTTATAAATATAAGAACTCGCTCCACTCGGGGTTCCCTCCCATTGAGGAAAAAAGGCCTGTTTATAAATTTTGGTGGGAAAATTTTTTATTATTTTTGCAAAAACCTCAAATACTTCATTAAACGACTTAGAATGCTCCCTATGATCATGTGATGGTTTTTGAACATCTTGGTGCATGCCTTAATGACATCTTTTTCTCATTAGATTCTTCTCATCCAGACATAATATGTGATTAAAAACTTGCTAAAAGCAGAGTTCAGATGATTCAAAAATTAATTCTAAATTTCAAATTTAAACACCTATATCAAAATTTATGCTTGATTAAATAAATTTTTCTGATGACTTATCACTTACCTTTGATTAAAATTTGATTATGGTTCAAGGGGGAAAACAAGTCTAAATTTATAAGTAATGAGTGCATGAATTTATGATTTAATGCACTCAAATGTTCAAAAAAATAAATAAATAGACGAGGAAGAAACTGGTTTGTTGCTCTATTTTAACGTTGGCTGATTTTTGGTTTAGCCTAATTGAGTGAAATTGGGCAATGATATGGATTTTTATTTTTTATTTTTTAATGTCTTTAAGTCATATGCATAGGATTTTTAATTTGGCAACACACATAAATTTAATTAACTTCAATTAAAATTTAATTATGGTTCAAATTTGGTAAACTTTAAAGTTAATATTTATATTAATGTTCAACTCTAACTTGATTAGAAAGTTAATAAATGGTTTGAGTATAAGAAGATTTAGAGCATGAATTAGTTCATTTGATCGGCATAGCATATGAACTTTGATTTCAACTTGTAGTCAAAATGAATGTCAGGACTAGATGAACCCAATAATATTAAAGATGATTCAATTCGTGTCTAAATGTGCTCAAATCAAATACTTAAAAGTATTGTCAAAAATTTTAGGACATTAATGTGAGAACTGAACTGTCTACGAATATATTGCATGCTTATTATTAAATCAAATTGCTCGACAAGACTATTCTAACAAAACTAAAGTTGCTCAATTTGAGGACATTAAAGTACTTGTTGCATAAATCATCTATGAACAAAGAATTTGATACTAGACATCTGATGGAATGTTATGGATTTTTGACTAAACTTATCAAAATGCCTGCTCTCAAAGTAAATATGGATAGTAGTCTTTCAATCTCTACATTAGAAAGGAGGGAGATTGGACATCTAAAGAACTGTAGAGCTTCACTTGATATTTAACGATGACAATTATCGTTAGCCACCACCATCGCCTAACTATTACTTTCTGGCTGACATCACTCAACTGACAGCATCCTAACTGATATTTGACACTGACATCTTGACCACCACCACATGTCTATCATTATCTTATCATTGTCGCTTGAGTACGACCATTCGACCAACATTGATCAACTATGGTCATGTGACTACTGTCGCACAACTATATTTCTCTAACCAACACCACCTAACTATAGTTTTTCAACCACAATTGACTGAATATGATCCTCTGATATCCATTTCCCAATTGTGACCTTTCGACTTTCATCACCCGACTATTATTCTTTTGACCACCATAATCTAACTATGGTCCTTCGACCATCATCACCCGACCAGTCCTTTCAACCACCAACACCCAACTATGATCCTCTAATCATTGTTGCCAAACGAAGGCCCTTTGACAACCATCATCTGACCCATAGTCTTTTGATAATTGTTGTATAGTTACTTTTGATACATGCTTAATTCATCACATACCATCACTAATTATTACATTCTGGAATATTCACGGTGGTAGAGAGATATAGAGTTTTAGTGTCCAAACTTTGTACGAAGATCCATCACACAGACATATAAGAGAGATGTGTGCAGTGTTCATAAAAACTTAAAATACACTAAGATTTTTATGTGGAAAATCCTGAAAAGGGGAAAAACTACGGGGCCTGACCCAATTTGAATGAATTCAATAATATTGATGTATGATTATAAATAATACCCTTCCTTGGAGAAGGGTACTGGCTCAATGTAGTAAATACATATTGTATAGAGCACATTACATAGTAAGAGAATAACATGTTTGCTATTCCTAAGAGAGTGTTTGCATGTTTGTTTGGTCAGTAGGACCACAATCGACAGGTGACGATGGTTGGAAGGATTGTAGTCTGCGGACGATAGTGGTCGGAGGGACTATAGTCGGCTGGCGAAGGTGGTCGAAGTGGCCGTAATTGGTGTGTGACAGTGGTCAGAGGACTGTAGTTGGCGGTCGATGGTATTCGGAGGTACA